TATGACGATCTAGCGGTCTGTGGATTGTTTTCAGGCATTCTGTGATGACTTGCCAAGGCGATTTTGTGTAATTTGCTGAGTGTTTTGAGCTTATCTATAGGTACTTGAGGTGTTCACATCCTATGCCGCTCGAACAGAAGAGTTTACTTTTTTTTGCTGTTTTCCACAGTGGCAGTAGGCGGTCATCTGATATTCAGATAGTTTCGCTCCACTGTATGGCATACTGGCACGATCACTGGAAAATATCCAAAACGGAGATTCTTCATTGCCTAGTAACCTCCAGTTATCTGAAGCCCTGCAAATACAAAGGCTCGAGCGCTTTGACCGAAATAATGTGCCCAAATATTCCACCCGTATCCACAAGAACAATACGTTGTGCTTTATTTCACACGCGTCTCAGCCTGGACGGTGTGCCTACCAACTTAAAATACAAGAATCTTCATAACAAAAAGAAGGGTTCGTGGTTTGCTAATGGGTGAGGTAGTGCCAGGTCGTTCAGGCCAAAGTAGGTGAATTTCCTTTGGCATAACCTTTGACTAGCCAGAGCCTAACCAGTGGGGAGGGGTGTGAAAACCGCAATCCACAGTTCATCGAATAATACGCTCTTTAGATGGAGTCAAACGTTCAATATGCCCAATACTCCTCAAGACATAATCGAGCCGGTGACCACTACCACAACCGGGAAGACGTGTGTATTTCATACGCCTTTCTTGGTTGGTTCGGAATCGGCATAATTAATCGAGTCCCCTGGAGTAATTGTCAGTGATTCCCCGACCCGAATATTGAATTTTCATCCTATCACTTTGGTGGGCAAACACTCCCACGTAAAGGAAGGGAGCGGGGCTTCCTTAGTAGAGAGCTTCTGAGGGGCGCGGGAAGGGTGACCAGCCACTCACCCCCGATCAGACGGAGATAAAGGAGACAAACGAACAAGTAGTAGCAGGATAGTTAAAAAGAAGACTGGATGAGCAATTTCAACATGAATTACACAGACAGAATTTAAAAAAAACCCACGGAAATACAAAATGAGGAGAGATGGTTTGATCTGGTTTGATTTTCTCATAGCTACTTTGAGTCCGCTTGTAACCCGCGACGATACACGACCCACACACAAACACATTTGAAACTTCCCCTCCCATTTATTACAACAAAAAGGGCTGGGATAGGTTTTTTCAACACAACATTGTCGAGCTATATACGTCGAAGGTCACAGATGTATGGTCAAATGTGTTAAATCCACTTTCTGGAGTTCCCCACCTGTGGTGCGTATCTGAATCCAACTGAAAAATGCTGGTGATTATTGGTCCGGCGATTAAGTAGCTACGCAAAGGCTTGTAGTTCCCTTGCCGTACTGAAAGCCGCTTCGACTACAGGATAAGGAAATATTATGAAGGTAGTTTGTAAAACGTTGATGAGCAGTATACAAATTGTGTTTTGATGTTATGGTGCTAAAAGGAAGGGATATACTCAAATGAGGTAAAAAAAGTATTGTATTGGTAGTGTGCTGACCTCATATGTTTTTGCATCCCTAGTTGGATACATGTGTGGATAACAATTTGTTACTTACTCTGATTATCAATATTTTCACTTTATCTGACTACCTGTGATTGACTGCCTGTTATCATTGTCTAAATAATGATCGATTTTCCCATAATTTTCGTGCACACTGAAAATACAATTACAAACGAATTCCAATTTCTTATGTTAGTCTCAAGTAAAATTGTATTAGAAAAACTCAATACCTCTTTACCGACTGGGCACGATATTGTGGTTGTGACTCGTGATAGGTAGATTTGTGTCTCGTGCATTATGATCGAACAGTGAGATCATAAAAAATATGTTGCATATGACAATATTTGTTGATGACAATCGAAAACCCATTCTATAGAGTCACTCATTTATGATCTGTTTCACTCTCTCATTGTTCTCATCTGTTCAACAGACGTGGACTCAATTTATGCAAATGTACCAACGATAATCCCAAACGGCCATCAACCGTGGGAAGAAGAATGGGCCAAGAAATCCCCTGAATATAGTGAACGGTCCAATGAGCACAGCTCTTACGATCCGCGTGTCAGTGATCTCGGGGCAGTTGAACCTCGTCGACCCGCTCACCGACCACCACCACCACCTCCTCCACCAGCTATACCAGCTCCGTCTACCCGTGCGCCCAGTAGCCGTGAGCATAAAGACGATAGTCGACACTCCAAAAACACACCAAAGACACAGAAGCAAACCGACAGACTTAGTCAGCCTACAAATCAATGGAAGTCAGCTGAACGGAAGTACGATGATAATGATGATGAGGATGATGATGATGATAATTTAGAGGACTCCGAAGCGGATTTGCAGCCACCACCTTTGCGCATTTCGCAAACAAAAAAGTTTTCTGAGTCAGTCGTTCCATCGCAGCAATATTGTGAGTAAACTATGTTTAAACTTATTTTTAAAGTTTTACCCAAAGAGAGCCTTTTGTTGCGGTTTTAGCACAGATATTGTCAAAGAATTTTCATGACAAGTGTCACTAGCTACTTACCTTTGGCCAATTTAAACCTGATTTCTGTAGTATTACATTTTACTGAGAACAACTCCACGATGTTATTGGTACTTTGAAAGTCACACATTAGGTCTTTTGCCATTGCAGTTCATCCTGAACGAATTGATTATTTAACTGAGAAACGACATACTCCCAGGATCATTTCGTGAGGTAGACAGCAATTTGGTTCAGGCAGGAGTTTGGACGGTTGATTCTGTTTTTCATTCTCGAAAGTTCGCCCACTGAGCATTGACCGGCTGATGATGATCAATTCTTTGATAAACTCACTGTCATCTGACTTCGATCAGTTGAACAAAATGAGCCGTGATCAGGTGAACTATTGATGTGAACAGAATATTAAGGCAAAAATGTAGCTTGTGCCAGCCATGCCGCTTCATTAGGATGTCTGTAGAGAAACTGAAATAAGTCAGTCCCTCTAGGCGATCTTTATCGATTACTCCTCGTCTCTTTCTTGCATTTATGAACGACCTGCCATATGTCCTTCGGCCTAATACACTGCTTTTAGCGGACGATGCTAAGATCTGGAGGACTGTAACACATCCAGAGGATCATATAGCACTCCAACAAACGATCAATTCAGCTCATCGATGGTCAGTCGCCAATGACATCGAGTTCAACGTTTCCAAATGCAGGTTTATTTCCATGCGGCATAAGACTCGTTTCTCCTATGTTCTGGGGAACCAAATACTACCGCATGCCACTGACGAAAGGGATTTGTGAGTTAAGGTACAGGAGGACGTAGGATATTCCAGGCACTGTTCCAGAGCATCATCCGTGGCTCTGAAGCAAGTTGGACTTCTCAGACGTGTTTTCGGGCAGTTCAAAAGAGCACTGTTCCCACGCTTGCTATCAGCGTTCATTCGGCCACACACGGAGTACGCCGTTCAAGTATGGAATCCATGGTTGAACCGCGGCAAGATGACTCTAGAACGTCCGCAAAGGCTGGCAACAAAATTGGTAAAAGGTCTGTGCAACAAGACGTACTCCGAAAGACTGCAAGTATTGGGACTCATCTCAGTACCGCCGACTTCGCGGGGGCCTAATCTTGGCATATTAGATACTGCATCAATCCAACCACCCTTGCCATTCTATGCTAACTTTATCTCAAAATGATCACCTCAGGGGACATCCACTGAAGGTAAAGACCCAGAACAGCCATCTCGATTGGCAGCATCAATCGTTTGCAGTCAGAGTGTGCAGTGTATGGAGTTCTCTTCAATCTGATGTAGTGTGTACCCCTACAGTTGAACTATTTAAATCGCAATTTGATAAAGCATTGGAACACTTGAAATTTCGACATCCGTGAATGAATGCATATTGCTTTCATTATTGTTTTCTGTTTGTGAAGTTATTTAAAATATTCTGTAAAAATCCTATGGGGCATGGTAAGCTTTGGCTTTGTTAAACCGCCCATAATAATACTTTGACTTTGACTATGAATACTAACATTTCACAGATTTTTTTCAACTCGCTTGTTCAACAAGTTGATCGAATTACCGAAAACAGAAAACCCGTTTCTGCTTCCGAATCAACTGAATGTAATTGTGGAATCTCTTTTCAATCCAAAGAACGAATAGATAGTCTGAACACAATTTAAGCCCATGTTGAATCGAAGCACTTACGGTTTCAGGCATGTGGCTAAATCATTCATGGGTTGAATTGTATACTCTTATTTCGTCAAGTTAATTAATGGATTTGAGCTTTAAGTGCTTCGGAAGTTTCTCAAATAGTAATCAATCTACCCGAATTTCGTGTGCACCGTAACTTTGCATAGTGGTTCTCAACCGCGATCATCCCAGTTCTTACTATGGTGTTGTCCCCTTTTTTCGGAGACTCTATAGTTCAAAATATAGAGAGTTTTGTAGAAAAGCATTTCCGAAAGCGCTACACTTTCTTACCGCATGCAATTTCTGACAACTGGTGTCCCACATGTTTCGGTGACCGATAAGTGAAGGAGTTTTTTTTCGGAGTTATTTGTTTGTGTCATTAAAACAATGTCATCGTAGCAGTCTTTGTGCTTTTTACTCAATCTGGTTGTCTGATACGTCTGTACTTCAGCTGCAGACGGAACAAAACTACAGAGGACCGAATCCCGTGGAAGTCGCCATACGTCCAAACCCTATCCGTCACCTCGAGGCAGTCTTCTCAGTCCAGGTGGTTTGTCGGTTCCTTCATTGCCGGGTTATTTCACTGGTGGACCGGTAGACAAAACACATCATGGTGGTCCTTATAGACCGGATAAATTTCATCCTCATCATTATGAACAAATTGTTCACGAAAGACCTTCAAGACCACGATCAAAGCGAACGACAGCCACCAGTCAAGATCTGGCAGCACACGGTGCCTCAGGTCAGTTGTCGATTACATTCTATCATCTATCTATCTGTCTACCCTGTGTTGTGATCGTCTCCAATTCTGAACCGAAATCACTTTAAATTTGAGTAAGCACGTGTTTCTGATCATTAAATAAATGGGTTGTCATTCTTCTATCTCGTCGTAAATATCTTATCGGTTCTGCCAACACAGAAATGTGATAATGCTGTTGTAATCTAACACCACTCCAGTGCTTCATTCCTCTAAACCAGTTGATTTATTCCTCTTTTGATTAGTATAGGTAGACGTGGCGACGTTGCGTTACGTGTGGTCACAAATTGCAAATTTGCAAAATTCCATTGTAAAAAATGATTATTTTATTTGGTGGCAATCATATTGATAGAGACTCCGATAGCAATAGATTCATGATAGTTTTGTGAGCGCATGTGCTGATGGTGAAACTAAACCTGCTGATGTGATCATTCATATGAACATCGCATACACGATGATGTATTCTTAAATATTTTGTTGATTGTTACACCTCGTGTTTCACAGGACTATATCTATTGAAATATGCATAATTTTCCAGCACACGTTAGCCCAATCTGTTTCCTAGGCTACTCCTCCCCCAGTTGTTAAAACTGAGAAGTTCACCGAAGCAATATTAAGTGGAGGCTTTTTCATCCGCTTGTTAGCTTCGTGTTACTTGTACAAACAAACGATCCATGTTTCACCCCTTTGTTTCTCCACTCCTTACTTTTTTACTTCCATAGCGGCTGCTATTCGGATCCTAATGGATGAAATTTTTCAGCTGTTTACCCTTCGCATACATAAGTTTACGGCTTTATTGTTTTGACCGACGAAACGGGGATGGATACCGATGCCAGACACACACACAAAAACCCAGTTACGTAATATGTGTAGGCAAATCTACCGAATGCAGTTGCATTTGTCACCGATACGCTTTCAACGTTTTCCTAATAAACGATACGGGAACTGAACCACCAAATTCGACCACTCGACCCCGGTCCTCTTTTAGTTACCGTGCGAAGAACGACGACTACTGACAGAGGTCTACAACTAGCCACAGAGACTTAAAGAAGAGAAGTCTATGTGAAACAACAAAACAAATCAATAAGAGTGGTGGTTATCATGCCTAGACTGCTCTAGCCTTCGGTAAAGTGTGACGGCATAGAGGTGTTCTTCCACTGTTCCCCACTTATCGTTCAGACGATGCAAACATTTCGGGTTACCATTGCGGCAGTTCCTTTGAGAACGGTTATTTATGGTGGAGTACCTCGTGAGGTGAATACCCTAAAACGTGCACATGCACACCGGACATTCGATCACATACCTAATTCCTAAACACAGCTCATCAAATCACTCATCATTGCGACTTAGTAGCGCATAACAACGCATCACGCATAACATGAAATTAGCAAATATGGTATACTTCTGGCATGTCGCGGGACTCAACTTATTGGCCAAAGCTGACGGTGTTATAAATGCGGGTCACTGTGTGGGTGAAGAAGTGGGACTGCAGATTGGTGAAGCTGATTCCTAATTACCATATGAAACTTATCAGTACCCCTGAAGCTCTTTTAAATAAACTATCGAAAGCTCACAATTGAAAGATTGAACTGTTACTCTCGCTTATCTTCATTACAGTTCATAACTAATAAATTTGTGTCACAGCACCACAGGGCATCTCAACTCCCGACTGTTGTATGAATCCATCAGGTGAAAATCCCCGTTTGTCCGAGAAACCTGACCTCATCTGCTGTTCAGTTTTATCTACACGCATTCACCCTCTTAGCAGATTCCTGGAATAAGCTTAACTGAGCACATCATCCTCACCGTTCTATTCAATAAATTCAGAGAATGGACACCAAACGAAATCGAGAACACGAAAAATCGATTAAAGATTACCATGATAATAAACTTGCCCTTTCGCTATAGATTGATTAGCTGATCAACAGGGATCCTTCTTACACAAAGCAAATCTTCATTCTCTTCTTCCATCGCGGATGACGGGACCGCATTACAAATGATCGAAATGTTCTATGTAACGGATCGGCGTTCTTGTTTGAGTCCCTCGTAGAAAACGTACCCCCTTGGAAGGTAGATCCAATCAGGATCATATAGGAGCACAAAAGACTGTCATTGAGTTATTCACATCACCCTTGGGGTTTAGATGTGATCTCTGGACTGATTAGGAAGTTGTAGAAATACGACTGACAAACAAGCCAGTTTCGGTAGATCGACGGGCACAAATACACGCACACACACACACGCACATAGCAAGCACATGAGGAACGTGAGGTGGAACATGCTAATACGAATTCAAGTCACGACTGATCTCAAGAACATCTGATAGAAACGGGCCGTTCACGATCCAAGGATAGGTTTGAAGGTCACCAGACAATGGTGTGGTTATGATTGAGAATAGTACACTGGTACTATTTGAATCTGAATCGGTGCGCGAAACTTCAATCAATGAAACTATGAGCATTCATTTAGTTAATCTATACCTTCTGAACTTCAATTGAATCCCACTAATCGTATCCTATTTGGAAACCCACACGTGATTGGTACTTCAGCCGTCCCACGTTACCCATTGGACCAAGTCTATCGAAACCCCATCCAAGCTGAATGAACTGATTTTCCTATAGACAAACAAAAGTACTTTTTGAATGAGTTACCAAGTGAGGATGAACGTTTCGGTGGGATGGGGTTTAAATGTCCGTCCGTCAACCCGGGAACGACATAGTTTGACCGCTGATCGTGTGGGTTTTAGACAACAATGCACAAACCCGGCAGTAATTGACTTCGGTCGGTTAGGTAAGGAAGCGAATCACGTCAAGATCGATCACCATTTTCAGACGTGAATGTTGAAAAGAATCATCTCATGAGTGGATTCAGTCTAGACTCTCAATAGCCCAGTAAGGAAATTCCATTGAAACAGAGGTTCTTTTGAATAACACCAATTCCTTAGAACTAAATGCAATTGTCAGCATAATTCGGATATTGAAAGGCACACTTGGCAGTATACTTAATAATGGTACATGGATGAAGTGAAAGCGAAAGTTTCCAATCGAGTCATACTCCTGGAGGATGGTGCTGAGATGAGCGAGGCCCGATACTCGCAACAAGCTCGTAAAGATGGGTTGTATATATTCAAAATGAGAAACAGTCTGATCAGCTGCCCGGTAACCGAGAGGGTAGTATGCTTGCTTTCTACCTGTAAGATCCCGGGTTCGATCTCCAGTTGGATCGATGGGTCCAACCAGGTTTAGATAGCTGTCCAGTGCTGCTCAGTTCTTCAGCTTAAGCCTCATTTACACGACGAATTCATCATATAAATTCCAAGAATTCCAATGAACTCAAGTCCAGCGAGCCTACAAACTGAACAATGGACTCGCGTTTTCCAATCTGTGGCATCGGAGGCGTTTCGTCAAGCTCATTTTTTACAACCACAGTGCAGCGTGGTGGGGTGGTGCACGATCGTGTTAAAATAGTGCTTGTGCTGAAACAAATGAGGGCAAATTGTCCAAGTGCATATGGATACCTGAATTCAAATTCTTCGACCTTATAACGGGGAAGAGTAGACATGTGACTTTGACAACTCGCAGGTGTTTTTTTCCTCAGCATCTACCCACGTATGAGAATTCTATTAAGCGGTGCGAGAAGAAAGTAAATGCATCATTGAATACCGTATCTTTACACAGCGTAGATTGAGTGAGTAGTTGATACTTATATTACGATAAAAAACTACCTACTGTTGATCATGACTGCGGAGAACAGCGGGAACTCGGATACAGTGTGTATTTCTCTAGGTTAATAGTAGTCTTCTTCAGCATCCGCATCACATATCCCATTTGTGATCCCACTTCTCTGTAA